AGGCTGCCGGTGAGGCCTGCGCTACCTCCAGCACAGTCCTCAACCAGGAGCCAAGTGTTGACAGGGGTGCTCTCTGCCCTGTGTGAGAACACCAGGCACCCCGTAGGCTCTGGCCCTGACCTTCAGGAATGTGTGGTATAACTGGGAAAGAGCGGCCCAGGAGCAGGCAGTGACCACTTAACTCAGGCTAACGGGAGTTCTGTGGGGACCGTGGAGTGGGAGAGGGCGTGCCCTTGCAAGGGAGACCAACCCAGGTTCCCTTAACATTCCTGCTAAGCCCCGAACCTAGCTATGACCTTGGGCAAACCATGACTACCGTCTGAGCCTCAGTTTCCCTGACTAACAAAGACATTCTGTCAACAACACTTGAGAGGGTATGGATGAATGACTGAGGTGACATACATCAGGCATTTCTTTAGAGTCTCTTCCCCTTTTCCTTTTTCACTCTGATTTCTCAGAAGAGGAGGGGAGTCCATTCACTTGGGGTAAGAAGAGAAGAATTTACAGTGGGGGGGGCAAGGTAAGCTAAGCTGGAAAGGATGTGGCAGACACTGTTAGTTACCTTCGAAGTGCCCACTTCTCCCTTCTGCCCACCAGGACCCTGGCTTCATTCAATCTGGCATTGTGTCCAGCTAAGATCCTCACGTTCCCAGACTCCCTTGCAGCTAATAGAGGTCACATGACCCCATTTCAACCAATGAAACATAAATGGACTTCAGCATTCTCAGGAATGCCCTCTAGCTTCTGTGATGTGGGGACCACCCTGCCTCCTTCTCTCCTTGTGCCTGGAGGTGAAGCTGCCACTTCAGAGCCAGGTGATGAGCCTGTGGAGGAAAGCCAGCACACTGAGGATCCAAAGAGGGAAGGCAGAAAGAGGCTGGTCCCCGGAACATCCATGACTGACGGCACTGGCTCTGCCCTGCCTGCTCTGGGCTCCTTATGACATGAGAAAAACAAACCCTCTTTCATTTTGGACACTCTTAGTTGGGTTTCCTGTCACTTGCAACTGGGATGATTCCTAAATGATGCCAGAGTGCTGTCACAGCAATAGTGAGGAATGGGATGGGCACTCCTGCAGTGAAGTAGAGGAGCCAAGTCCACACAGAGGCCAGAGCTGCTCCTTCTCCCCTCCTCCCTGGGCAGCTGCCGGTGACCAGTCATGGCAGTCCATGCCCTGCCTAGGAGCCACCTGGGGAGCATGTGACCCACTGCCGACCATAAGCCTCATGGGAAGTATTCCAGGAGGAGATTCTAGAGAATGCTTTCAGACTCCTAAGAAAAAACCTAAGAACAGAATACACCCCTCTCCTCTCTCTGACATTTTTTTTTTTTACATCCAGAACTGCCTGGACCTGTGGGCAGCCAACTTGTTATCAAGAAGAGAGTTGCTCACAGGACAAAACTGATGCCCCAAAGATCACAGAATAGAAACTGGGAAAGGCTCAGGCTCCTAATGAGGTCCTTGGGCCCCTGGATTGACCCAACGGCAGCTATAGGAACTCCTATGTGAGTAATAATAATCATTGAAGTCATCATTGCCGAAAACACTTGAAGTTGAGTTAACTGTTACTTACAGCCAAAATCATCCTTATGGGTGATTTTGTATTTGAGGAAAATACCTTGTATTTAAGGAAAAAAGATCAATTGATCATCATCAATTAGTAAAGCGGATAGTGGGTGGGTGTTTTACGTTATTGCATATATGGTTTTCTTTCATCTTCTAGATTAATCATAAGCACTTGCTTGAGGGCAAGACTGTATCTGTCTTTGGTTAAGTCAGACAGCACAGCTTGAGGTAAGAACATGGCCTGTGCGTCAGACCACCTAACTTTAAATCCTGGTTCTGCCAGTTACTTGCTTTACAACTTTGAGGGAGTTGTTTAAACTCTTCTCACCTTGCTTACTTGATAGAGATAGCACTTCCCCTATGGGGTGGTTGTAAGGATTAAATGGCATAATATATGTAAAGAACAGTTCCTGGCATGTGTAAGTGCTGTATGAGAACTGACAGTTGTCATATTGATACGCAGGCAGATGGCACTGTTGATCCCAAATGATTTTCTGTTGTTCCAGCAATAATATTCCCCTATTACAGATAAGGAAATTGAGTCACAGATAATTAAAGGTATTTGCCAAAGATCTGCACAACTGGTAAGCAGAGAAGCTGGTATTTGAGCACAGGCAGTGGGGCTGCAGGGCCTGATCTCTTAACCATGGCTCTATTCTAGATCCTTCACATGGTGGTCAAATTGAATGACCCAGACAGCTAACCAGGGTAGCCATTAAGTAGGCTGGAATCCATCCTGCTTTGCCACTGTGTGAATATAGTCAAATACTGGCAGCAGTCTGCTCCTTCTTTGCCAGCTCTAGTCATTTCAAAGCACCACTATAATTTCTCTTTTGCATTTTGGAGCCACTGAATGGGTCAGCGGGTTCACAGTTACAGAGGGAACCCAGCCAAATCCCCACCATCTGGCACCACCCGAGACACAGCATCTGCTGTGGCCCTCTGCATGAAGCATCCCTCAAAATGCCGCCAAATGAGATCCTAAATGCCCCCCTGCCAAGGGCAAATGGTCCCCGAGGTCCCTGTGGAGGAGTGCCAGCTCCCCACAGCTGACAGATTCCCCATGCCCCAGGTCTTCGGCTTCCTGGGCCAACAGCTCAAAGAGGACCAGGCATGGATGGAAGCACTCTTTTCTTTTTCAGGTTGGAACAGCGCCCTTAGGGCGGGAGGAATGAAAAAAATAATTGACATGAGACCAGACTGCAGACATGGGGCATGAAGGTAGCACCTACCAGGTCCAGGCGCTATATGTCGCGCCAAGAGCACAAAGATAAATAAAGCCTGGTTCATGCCCTTAAGGTGCTCACAGTTTGGAAAGCAAGGCAGACAGTAAACAACTAATGAGAGCAAAATACAGAGCATTCCCTGTATGCCAGACAGTTTTAAGTACGAATACATTTGGTCTCCACACCTACTCCATGAAATGTGTCCTTTTCTCATCGCCATTTACCCCAGGAAACGGGGGCATACACAGAGAAGGTAAGTCACTTGCCCAAGATCACACAGCTAATAGGTGGCTAGAGCCATCTGGTTCCAGACACCTGTTCACCAGCCACCCCGCTGCCTGTAGCATTGAGAAGCGGCATGACACATGTTTTAAATAAAAACTGGATGAGGGCATCCTGGAAGCCCCAAGGGGAAGGCAATGAACCCTCCCCACTGGAAGGGGGTTGCTCAAAGGGAAAAGGAGTCATGAGAGGTGGGTGGATGCAGCTTTGGCCAGGTGATGGGGGTAATGATGATAAAAGTAATGGCAGCTAACATTTACTGTGTACCTACTAAGCAACTCATCCAAGTTTACTCAGTTACTCTGAACAACACACATAAGAGGGTCACCATCCCTCACTGCCTGATTTTACAGACAAGACAACCAGGCACAGAGAGATCTGGTGACTTGCCTAATCTCAGGTGGCTGGGAAGAGGCAGAGCCATGGGATCTGGCCTCAGAGCCTGTGACTTCACCACTAGACCAAAGGGACAGGGAGAGGAGAGGACATGGCTGCAGCCTGGCCTAGGTGGGGAGTGAGTCACAGTGCCTGGCACAGTGGGGGCAGGCTGTGGGTGAAGGGGACTGGAGGGAAAGAGGATTGAAGAAGGGGTTGAGTTCAATCTGAACATGGTTGAGAGATGTCGACAGTTTCTCCAAAGCAGGGTCACTGGAGATCTGAGTTCTGGCTGTGGCTCTGTGGTAAATGTGTAGCCATGTCACTAAGACTCAGCTTTCTTGTCTGTGAAATGGGAACGTCAGAGCTTGAAGTAAGACATAAGTTCCAGGGCACAGTGTGATGTAAGGGAACGAGAAGTGAGGAGTCCATCCTTGGTAGGCACCAGGCATGAGGCTGCAGGGGAGAGTGAGGCTGGGTAGGCGGGGAAACCAGTGAAAACTGTAGACAGGAGAGTGATGTGGTTTGTACCAATCAGGCTTCTTAATTGAAAACAACAAACTCCACTCTGACCAAGCAAACCTGAACTTCATTAAAGGATAGCAGGCAGCATGAAGAATCTTCCAAGGAAACAGAAAGCCAGGACTGGGGAATACAAGCCAGGAGCTGCACCTGCCCACAGGGCACTGGACCCCAGAGAGTGCAGCCCGCTCCCCCAGAAGGACCAGATGCCTCCATGGCCCTGCTTACCAGAACCTTAATTCTATTCATCCCAGCATACGCCCTTTGCAATCATGGTCTCAAAAGAGAGGATCTGATTGGAGAAGCCAAAGTCACGTGGCTTCCTCTAGCAGCAAGGGATGCTGGGAGACCGTCACCTGGGGAGGTGGGAACTGCATTGTGGAAAAGTCTCCAAACACGGGCTGGGTGTTCAGAAGGTGTTGGGCAGCCCCCAAAACTCACATGGCCCTTCCTTCCATGGTCCAATTTGCACTGTAGTTAAATTTCTCCAACAGGAGCCTGAAGTGGGGATTTTCCAAGTACAAGACTGGAGACCAAGGAGACCAGTGAGAAACAAACAAGGGACAACCTGATGCAGGCAGTGGTGTCCAAGACACAGAGAAGGAGGTCATCCTAGGAAACACTCAGGAGGTAGAATCAGCAGGACTTGAAAATGAGGAGTTAAAACTATCAGGGGCCCCAAATGGACCCACAGGAATGGGCAACATTTGGGAGCGTTACAATCCTGCCTGTGCAAAAACAATGAGGTAGGAAGGGATGCACACCATCAGGGATGGATGTCGGGGGAAGGGGCAAGGGGGGCTTTAGCAGTTCTACTCACAGTACTTCAGTCTTCTTTGCACCCTTTGCAACAGGAATGCACTCGTTAGCCAGCATTCCTTTTTTGCTCTTCTGCTCAGGTACTGCTTTTCAAGAAAATAATAGCCACAGAGGCTTGGCAGGGATGGACACTGAGATGCTTGAGGGGGCTGAGGTCTGTGGTTTGTGCACCTTTTAATCCCACAGTCTTGGCATAAGGGCTGACCCACCTCAGGCTCTTGGTGACTGTTGATCACAGAACGCCCAGTCTGCTGGAGCTAGAACTTCAAGAAGGTCACTTCCACTACAGAAAGAAGGAGAAAAAGAAAAGTTAATTCTGTATCCCCAGCCTTCCTTTTAAAGTAAGGATGTTCTGAAGAGAATGAGCAACATTCCCTGTGTTCACTCAGTGATGTTTTATCATGACTCCGCAGTAAGCCAGCCGGGGGATCAGGGAAGGGGCAGAGACACAGGAAGGCCCTGTCCTCGCTAGCTCTGACCACGTTTTCAACCACCTGCAAGATTTAGGGCTTGGCAGTAAAGTGGGAGTGAAGAAGGGGAGGGAAAGAGGAAAGAGCTGAGAGTCTGGCCCCACCGTTCACTAGCGGTGGGACCCCAGCACAAGTTTATTTAGCATATGGTGTCTCAATTTCACACTTTTAAAAAAAGGGATGGAGATAACCAACCCCACCTCTGGGTGACAGTGAGATGAGCTGATATACATGCACACCTCAAGGAAAGCCTAACACACAGCACACTGTTAACCCTTATTATTGTTGGCCTTTTCTTACTAAGTTTTGCCTCTGGGATCTTGCCCTGCTGTTCCCTCACCTGGAATGCCTTTCCTCATGACCTCTCCATGCAGCTCCTTCTCAGGGTGCAGGTTCTAGCTCCACTGTCACCTCCTCTGACCACTCAAACAGCCTCTCCCACCAGAGCACTTGTTTCATTTTCTCTGGGGACTTAGCGCTCTCACGTAACACCATCTTTACTTCTGTGTCATCTGTCTCCCCACGCCGGAACTGTCCTGCCATGAGGTGACGGGCTTCGGTGGGCACTTTCACTGCCTGAGCCCCAAGCCCGGAGCAGCCCCTGGCCCAGAGTAGGCAAACTTTACCATCGGCAGAGTTTAGACTCGATGTTTTCCTGTCCGGTGTTCCCAGGGTCTCTCTTCTTGCCTTCACTTGATTCTCCTGAAGGGCATGGTTCTTTTTGAGGAGAATTCTCTGGATTCTTTCTCTGACCACCCAAATTAACTGGTATAATCAGCAAGTTTGGCCTTTGCCAGAGACGCAAAACAGCAGTGGCGTGAACACCGTGGGAGTTTCTCGCGGGTGCGGCAGGGCAGCTCCACGCCGCGGTGGTCAGGCGCCAGGCTCCCGCATCCCTAGGGCATCCCCCTCATCCCCAGGGCATCCCCCTCATCCCCACGGCCCGAGATGGCTCACTGCCACGCAGGGACTCCTGCCGCGGGGCCATGATGAGGGGCAGGGCTCTCATCCCTCCCTGCGAGGGCTCCACCAGGAAGCATGCCTCACCGCTTCCACTGGCTCCCACCGGCCAGAGCCTGGTCACGTGGCCACACCCACACCAAGGAGGCTGGGAAATGTAGTCTCTCTTCCGCACAGGCCCAAGGCCAGCTAGGAATCGGGGGTTCAGTTAATGTGAGAGAGAATGGATAATAGAGAATAAGCAGGGTCTCTAACCACCCTCCTTCTCTTGGGCCTTGCTGAAATCAATACACTTAGGAGAGGAGAGGAGAAAATGGGCCGGGAGGGGTCATCAGGGGTCTGCCTCCACTTAGGAGTGGTGGGGAAGGTTCAAGCTGCTCCTCTGAGCCTTTTCTCTGCCCCCTATTCTTCTCATTCTCACCTCAAACCCCACTTGGGGATGTATCTGAGTTTCTCCTATTGACAGGGTTAGAGTATAGCCGATCTCCCCACTGTCCCCCAAGCTGGCAAGGCCCCTGTGTGCCCCAGCCTTGACCCTCTGGTCCTTCTTCTCTATCGCCAGTGCCAGGCATTCCCACACTTGGTCCCACGAGGTCACACCACTTGCACAGACCTTGAGAAGCTCTCAGCAGCCAATGCTAGGCAGCTCTCCAAACCCTAGCCTCTTGGCCAGAGAAAGAAGAGTGTCACCCCCTTAGTGTCCTTGTATATATTGTATAGTCTTTCAAAAGAATGTATGACTAGGCCACATTTTGTTTATCCAGTCATCTGTTGATGGTCACTTGGGTTGCTTCAACCTTTGTCTATTGTGAATAATGCTGCTATGAACATGGGTGTACAAACATCTGTTCATGTCCCTGCCTTCAATTCCTTTGGAGTATATACCCAGAAGTGGAATTGTTGGATTATGTGCTAATTCTGTTTTTAGTTTTTTGAGGAACCTCCATACTGTTTTCCATAGCAGCTGTATGTTTTACATTCCTACCAACAGCGCACAAAAGTTCCAATTCCTCCACATCCTCACCAGCACTTGTTATTTTCTGTTCTTTTGATGATAGTGTGAAGTGGTAGCTTGATGTGATTTTGATTTGCATTTCCCTGGTAATTAGTGATGTTGAGCATCATTTCATGTACTTATGGGCCATTTGCATAACTCCTTTGGAGATAGGTCTATCCCAGCCTTAGAGCTTTCTGTATTCATTCGTTCTGTGGTTTAGTTTCCCGTTCAGTAGATATTCTCGGGCTCTCCTCCCCGCCAGTGGTGTATGGGCTGTGGGTACAACGATGGTGAAGACAAAGCAAAGTAAGCAAGCAAAATAAAACAAAAGCTTCTCGCCTCCACGGAGCTGCCAATTTTAATCTAGTTACAACGTGATTCTTGCCTCTGAGGGCTTGTTGTGGGAATGAAATGAAATAATATCTAAGACCTCCAGCAGAGGGGGTGCGGCCGCCAGCCCCTCCCCGCTTGCTCCCTGACCTCCGCACTGTCCCTTCTCCTGCTCCCTCCATCCCCTCTGCCAGCTCCTCCCCACCTGGCTTTATCTGTCTGCCCGGCCTTTGCCCTTCTTTGTGAGCATTTCAGTAGCCGGTGAGTCTCCAGGCTGGTGGGGTCCTGGTAGGGCATTTCCATCCCTCCTTCAGTTTATCTCTCAACATATGAGAAAAACATTCTGAAAGCACTCACCACTTACCACTTACCTGTTAATCCTGCTGCAGAGCGGGTAAACTCCAAGCTCCCATGGCACCTCCATGAAGAAAGCCACCATTTCTCAATAAAATCCTTTCTCTGATATATTTATTGGCATCCCCTGTGATCCAGGAAATATGGTGAGACTGGGACAGACAACTCAAATATTTACAAGGAAGACGGGTGAGAAAGCAGAAACTACCATTTCAGACTCAAACACTGGGGAAAAGTTGACTTTTAAGCCCCAGGTGTTGGACTCATGAGTGGGCGGGGGTGGTGATGGGGGTTGGCATGAGTCTAGAGCATGGGTGGAATTTGAGCTGGACATTAAAAGACAGGGAAAAAAAGTGGAGAATAATGCTGATCAATGTAATAACTAATGACTATTTAATCCCTGCTATATTTAAGGGCTTTATTTAGATTAACTTGTTTAATCCTCATGGCTACTCTAGAAGGTGTTATTAAACCCCTTTTCTAAAGCATGAAATTGACCCAGAGAAATGAACTCATTTTCCCAAAGTCACAATACTGTTGAGGGACAGATTTTGTCACAGATGCAGGATAGGCACCCAGGCGATCTCTGGCCTGCCTTGGTGTGCTGAACTGCTGCACCCCTACTGCCTCAACCCCGCCTCACTACTCCAGGGCAGGCACACATACTATACCTTGGATTCCTAGTCTAGGCCTTTCTGGTATGCAGTAGGTGTTATTAACTATCTGCAAAGGACTTCCAGCTTATAAAATCTTCACTTCTGTTAGCTCCTGTCTCTTCCCGGAAACCCTGGGAGGGAAAATTCCTCTTTCATAGACTTGCAGATTAGGAAAATGAGGCATGCTCACAAACCAAGCAGCAGAGCTGGGACTTGAACCTGTATGTTCTGGCAGGTTCCTTGTCCTGGTTTGTCTCCACCAGGCCAGACCAATAGGGGCCTTCAAAGCCAGAGTAGACACAGCCCTTGGGCAAGAAAGTAAGGTGGCGGCTGGAGAGGAGTTTTAATGTTGGCAGAGAAGTTTTTGAAGTTCTACTGTCCAGTGAAGAAAATAATGTGGAGAGAGTAAAGAAAATAATGCTTAGGAAGGAAATGACAAAGAAGAAACCCTTTAAAATCTGGGAAGAGATCTATCCAGGCAGTGAGGATCGTATGTGCAAAGGTCAGGCAGGAATGAACCTGGTGTGCCCAAGGATCAGAAAGCCTGCCAGTTGTCTGGAGTGTAGTAAACATGTTATGGGGAACAGGAACACAGAGAGTTGAAGCCAGGGAAGTTGGTGGGGTTTTACTTTAGATGCGGTAACCCCCCAGGAGGGCATCAGCAGGTGAATGACTTGGTCTGATAGATCTTTTTAAATTCTCACTCTTGCCATTATATAGAGGATGGGTTGGAGAGTGCAGAATGGAAGAGACAAGTTTGATGGCCCAGGTTAAAGATGGTGGTGGTTTGGCCCAGCATGGAATTGATGGTGATGCAAAGAAGCAGACAATGCAGAGCCCCTTGTGGAGAGCTGTAAGGTAGAGCCTTGGGATTTGCTGATGCCTTGGAAGGTAGAAACAGAAAGGAATGTGAGCAATCAAAACATTGACCTTGACTCATGGACAGCCAGCAAAAACAGCTTCTGGAAGCTTCTCCCAATGGATTGGGACAGTCTCCCAGCAGTAGTTAAACAAGTCATTTTATGTCCTTAGAAAGATGTGAACAGGGCCCTGATAAATGCCCACCTTCTTCTCTAGGCTTCTCCTTGGGGCTCATTTCTATGTGTCCAGTGAGGGGACAGGCCTCAGAGGCTGCCAGTTTTCCCAGCTCTCTGGAGGGGTGCATTCTGTGCTGTCTGCTGCTCCCAGATGGAGAAAATTCAAGACAGAGGGGAAACCTGTGTGGCCGCCAGCCCTCTCCCGTCCCCCACCATGGTCTGCACAGGCCTATGTGTCCCAGTGCCCAGGGGCCCATACACAGGAGGCTCTGTGAGCTCTGGGCCCACAGGCTCCAGCACGGGATCCCTTGCCAGCTTCTGATGGTTGATGATCGGGCCCAGGACTCTGCCAGCATGGAAGTCTTGGAGGTATGCATTCAGATGGCAGGTGGGTCAGGCGTGAGTCCCCGCAGTGCACCTTTCCACTGGAACAGGAGTATCTAGAAGGCTGTGGACATCCCTCTGCAAAAGCAACTGTGCGACTGTGGGAGGTGGGGGAGTGACTGTGGCCTTTCCCCACCACTCTTCTCTTGATGGCCACTTGCAGGACTCCTAGAGTCTAACAGACTTACTCCCCCAGTCCCCAGTTTCCTGGGGTGCAGGCGTTTTGTACTCCACCTAGGCTTCCCACCCCAGGTGTGGGAGTTTCCTGCCTTCCTCCCATAAAATCTTCTGCATTTCATTTTATTTCATCAACAAAGACACTATTCTTAGACTTTAACTAATCAGATAACCAAATGTGCACAAAAGTGTAAAAGAGCCATTGGCTATGCAGTACATGACTTGGAATCCTGTCCCAACACCCTTCCTAATTAGCTTGGGAGATAAGAAAGCCCTGGAATGATGACAAGACTCCTTAGCAGCCAAAGAAGCCTCTCTCTTTGGCTTATCAGAGGTATGGAAAGAGGAAAGACAGTAACCTCACCACGGTGTAATCCACCATCACTTAAACTCTTTCCTCGGTGTGTTCCGTAAGAGTGGACACAAAAGCATTTTGTAAACTCCCAGGGCTGGGGAGGATGGCAGCATGAGCATCACTGGGTTTTTCCATGAAGCTGGACAGGATAATATATCACATAAATATCAGTGTTTTTTTGTGGCCACTACTGCTGCTTGACAGAGCTGACTGGGGCACAAACCCTGGGTAAACCACACCCTCTGTGGAGCTGTTCTATTTCTGACCCTCAATTCTGGGGGTAGCAGAGTTTTAGCAACTCTCCAAATTCAAGTGACAGTTTGAAGTGGGGCAATGCAGACACCATTGTAATAATTGCCATTTATTGGATGACAGAGACTGTGTTGGCTTTAGTAACTGAAAACAGTAGTGACTGCTTCAGGTACAGGTTGATCAAGTTACTTAAAGGTTACCATCAGGAACTGGTTTCTCTGTCTCTTAGCTCTTAGATAGATTTTTCCCTCTGTAGCTCTAGCAAACCCTTCCCTTCTCAGATTCAAGACTTCTGGGAAAGAGTGAGCATCTTTGTGCCAGCATTAATCTATTCATTTAGCAAATATTTATGGAACATTATTTTGTTTCAGAACTTTTTCTAGATGCTGAGGAAACCTGAGACAAAACAGATGAAAGCCTCTGGCCTCCTGAAGCTTATGGTCCAGGGGGTCAACTGAAAAGAAATGTATTAACAAATAAATGTATGAAAGATGTCAGG